ACATCACTAAGGCAGTTTCAGGGAGAAGGGAGTGTGCGGGGCAGAGCAGAGTCTAGTCACCCACCACAATAGTGTCTTCCTTTTATTGAGTCTCCTATTTCCCCCTGCTCAGCATCTCACACTATACAAAAATACTAAGTTCTAAGATACATTCCCACTGCACTGGGAGATGCAGGGTAGAAAGAAGGGTTTTTCTATGAGTGCTTTAATGGTAATATTAAGTACATCAAAGAACAGGTACTTTATCGTGGAGATCAGTTCAAGTGATGTCCTCCTGAGAATTATATACCTATAGATATCATAAAGGTCATTAGTAGGGTTTCTTTCTGTCAAAACAGTTCCAGAGGGATTTTTTCCCCCTGAAAATGGATCCAGAAATCCATTCAGATAAGGTTAATTTTGTTGGCATTGCCTCAGTCAGCTCTTTCACTTACTTTCTCTTCTTAATTGCTCTGCACACCCACGGGGTGTGTGTGTGTAAACCACTATGGACTTCAGCCGCCAGGTTCTAGTAATGAACAACCACTCTCCAGTGAAACCTTCATCACAAGCCAGGCGGCACACAAGGCAGGAAGCATCCGGTTCCGACACAGCCTCCCGCCCCCTCGCCGCACTGAGAAACACCATCATTAGTGAAGGCCCTGCAAGAACCTGCATGCAGCCAGCAGGCTCCGCATCCTTTCATGTTCTGCGGCCTCCTTCTAGAAACTCTAGGCCAAACCCACAGGGGCTGCGACAATCTGGTTTCCATACCTGCCCCAGGAATTTTTTTGTTCAAAATGTCACCTTTGCCCTTGCGCAGTGGCTGACAGTGGGCGTGACCTGCATGGATCAAAGTTAAAAACACAATCGGAGCTATGACTTCGAGGCCGATGTTAAAGGGGTGCCACTTAAACTGTGTAAATAACAGGCTTCTTTCTGAGCCTCAAGGAAATGTTCACCTCTGGAACCCTCCCCACTTTAAGACATGTCCCAACCATAGCAATGAGTGGCCTTTTTATCACATACTTAGAACAAACATGAATGAAAATATACATCTGACTACATCCTGGCTGGTTAGCATCACCTACACTATGACTCAGAAAGCCTGCTCCTAGGTATTTGCTCAAGAGAAATAAAAATATAGGTCCACAAAAAGACTTATACAAGAATGTTTGTAGAAGCAACATTCATCATATCCCTAAATTGGAAACAACCCAAATTCCCATCAACAGGACAATGGATAAACTATGGTATATGCATACAAAGAAATCCTACTTAATTTTTTAAAAACTTGCTGATACACAGTACATAGGTGAATCTCATAGATATTAAGAGGAAGAAGACAGACGAAAAAATAAAACAGTACACGGTATATGATTCCATTTATATGAAGTTCTAGCATAAGCAAAACTAATCTATGGTGACAGAAGTCAGAACAGCAGTAGCCTTCGTGGGGAGGGGGTGAAAGGCAGAGGGATGGGCAGGAGAGAACTTTCTAAGAAGATAGAAATATTCTATATCTTGATCAGAGAGGAGGTTGCAAAATTCATGGAACTGTACACTTAATATGGGTGCATCTGATTGTATATAAATTACACCTTAATATGAAAAGAAAAGAAGAATGGATGCAGCAGGATTTGATGGGGTAAAAGGACTAGCTCATTACTTTTCAGGGTTGTTTGACTCTGCAGAGGCCACAGAAACATCTCAGACCCTGATATTCCACAGGTATAGGACACCCCAAAACACCGGACAACAGCCCTGGTTTTCAGACTCGAGGCCTCCAACAAGCTGGCTTAACTTGAGCTGCCCTGGGGCCCTAAGGGAGACAGGTATTAGCAGCAGGGCCCCAAAGGCCTTGGGGGCTGACACTGAGGGAGATGGAAGTTATTTCACAGGTCAGTAACCAGCATGTCCCTCCCTTCCCCAATCTCCAAGCAAAGGCTTCAGCAGATGGGCAGAGGAGTGGGCTGCACAGGGTTTGCACAGGTGTGATATATGCCTGCAAGGGGCACCCTGCCAACAATGAGGGTTCACACCACAGTGGGAGTGCACCAAGTCAGATCTGTCTGCCTGGGCACAGTGCCCCACCTGCCTAAGGGTCAGGATGTACCACAGACCCTCAAAGAGGCCCTTCAACAACGTGGGTTGAACCTGTAGTTCTTTCTGTATACCTTGGTTGTCAGGATCATCATTTTACAGGCTTGACTTTCCTGTGTGTGCATGAGTGTGTGTGTCTGTGTAGGGAAGGGCAGTGGCTCTTACTGCTAAAAATACTGATTTTACACAAAGTCAACCTCTTTCATACCTCAAGGTGTCGCACAGGGCTCTCCCTGCTGAGGCCTGGCATGGCCGTGCCTTCACAGCTCACTTTCAGTGCCCTTTCTCAGAGGAGCCTTCCCTGAGACCCACCTCCAACCTCCAACCCTCTGGTCATCTCCTACCACTTTCCTCACACTCCTCATGACTACAGTGGTTTCTCTACTTGTTTACGCCCAGACTTCTCCACTCACTAAAAGGTCGAGGAGAGTGGGGAGTGTGGCTGGTTTAATCTCCACTGTATAAGGAAGCACCTGGCCTGGCACATAATAGGGCCTCAGTCAATACTGGCTGAGTGGACAGATTCTATACCTGTTACCCAATACACAAAATAAAGCAAGCAACTGAAGAAAATCTCCAAACTCCACACTCTTGCTCCTGTCATTTCAAAGTAAAATGCACGTGAAACAGCCCTGTACTCCATGACCGCTTCTAGAGAGGAAGTCTCCTGGGAGCAGGTTTGAGGCTCACATGACATGCACATCAATGACTAAGACAAGAATGCTGAAAAGTGGGCATCTCACATTTTATCAAAGAGCCAGTATCTGTGGCCAAAAGATGTAGGTCTTATGGAGCTGAGCAGGCAAATGCAGTTCGTGAACAATTTCATTCTCTAAAAAATGGACTGTTACAGGAAGCACGGGCTGTAGATTCAGTGTGGTGAAATGAAAAATGAGCTGCTTGGGAACATAAAACAAGGGGGACAGGACATATATGCTGACTTGGCAAGTCATCCAGCACACTGCCCAAGGAGGGAAAATTATTCATGTGCACAGGTGCACACACGTAGACTCTAGCGCAGAACCTTGAAGCTCACAATGAAATAATTTAAAGGGAAAAAAAACACCTGATCTGGCACCAGCCTGACACCAGGCCTATAAAAGGGGAGGCAGTGTTATCACCAGACTTAACACGTCTGTGGACGAGCTCCCCACCAAACGGCAACGTCAATACAAACAGCGTGCCCTCTTATTCTCTCGGGTACCTAGAAATTTGTTCAACTGCTGACCCAGAGAATAATTTTCCCGTCCTCCTGAAGCCGGCAGCTCTGCCACTGAGTGCTGAGGGATGTGGGATTCAGAGGCAAAGTGAGAAAAGCTCTGAGCCAGGAGTTCTGGCCTCCACACCCCACTTCCTGTCTGTCAACTGTGGCAGCCTCGCTCTGGCTCCCTGAGCCAGTTTCCTGCCCAAGCCACTTAATAAATAAAGTGAACTTTGATAAATAAAGCAGTGAACATAAAGAGTCCTTCTTCTTACACAAGTCATGACCTTTCAGTTGCTCCCTTAACACTAGGGCGATGATTCTGGTCATTTATTAAACACTTATTATGTGCTAGCTTACATAAATAAGCTCTGGTTGGGTGTTGTTTTTTGTTTTTTTTTTTTAAAGAAGTAAATGATCTCACAGGTCACAGAGTGGAAAAAAATAACTATCTGTAGCTCTGGTTTTGCTTTCTGTGTTAGCAGCTGGGGAAAAAGGACAAGAGAGTGAGGCATGGGGGCAATTTTAAACTAAATGCCTTTGGTAATTCATTCTGACTCAATGTGGCAGATTAGAATGATCTCTAAGCTATTTGCCAAATTACAAGAGGATATATGCTGAAAGCAACTGGCAAGGGCCTGAGTTCTGCCCAGTATTTTTCTGATGTCAGCTACTTGCCAAATGTTCCATGAGGAGAGAGGCTGGAGGGTGGAACCCCACTGCTGAGAACTCTCAGCTCTTAGTGAGTGTTCAGGTGCCCTTTGAGTATGCAGGGCTGGGTCCCACTCTGGCTTCTGTAGACACAAGAGCCTATCACAGGAAAAAGACCCTCTGCTCACTGTTGGGGCTAGGGCTGCTTAGAACAGCACAAGCTGGGGAGGAGTGAGGGAGCCCGGGCAAGGTGTGTTCGGCTGTGCCCGCCCCATCTGGGCCTGGCAGGTGGTGGTGGGGGCATTCTGGGTCAGTGCTCTCCCACCTGATGTGTGGCAGGCCTGGGGCAGCGGTTTTAAGCCCCACTCTCCTCCCCTGCCACACAGCATCCCAGGCTCTGCCTGCCTCCAAGTCAGGGCACGTCTGCCTCCCCAAAAGTACACAAGACCCTGTTAGGCTCCACTGATCTCTGGAGAGACATCAGCCCAGAGTGGTGGGAAATGGTGGGCAGCCAGAAGCAGAAACCAAAATTACAAAAAGGGAAAAACAGGAAAAGCCCAAGAAGTAAAAACAGCAAGGAGAGGCTTTGAATTTAACACCCACATTGTCCTACTTTCACTTTCCCAGGAGATAATTCTGTCATCCTGAGCACGGTGCCAAATGTTTGCTCAGAGTGCATGTGCAGGCCCACACTCACCAAGGAACTCCAAACAGAGGTGAACTTGAACTCAGTGCTGCCAGTGACTGCCTGATCCTCTCCTAGTGAGGCATATGGATGTACAAGCTTTGGTGAGCCCCCTCAAAGGGTTCCTGACCTTGAGCTGGTAGCTAATGTGATGTACGCAGGCCAGGTGACCAGTAGAATCCTGGACCAGCCACACAGTGGTCTATCCTTAAGCAAGCCACACTGGAGCATCCTCAAGAAGGTCTCCAGGCTGAGCAGTGTTTGAACAAGTCCTCCAGTCCCAGGAAGAGCAACTGTCTGTGAAGGCATGCATGGCACCTCCAAACTACTCCCTGGAGGCCGAGGGGTGAGCAAACCCATCATCTGTCCATCGCTACTCACCATGTATGAAGGAAAGATCAGAACTCGTTTGTGCTTGCCACAAGGCCACTGGGGGTCATCCAGGAGATTTGGGTCGTAGTCCATAAAGTCTCCCAGGTCGCTGCCTAAGGATCACATGCAAAGCGATAATTAGGAGCCCCAGACCCTCAGCAGGAGAAGCAGCTGGGCGAATGCCAAGTACAGAGTTAGAATGAAAAAAGGCTGGCTTCGGGGCATTTAGCTCAGAGTCACGTCGCCTGCTCTTTCAGTAGCTGTCTCTGTGTGCCAACAAAGTGCATCCTCCCCCAAAAGGGTTCACCAAATTCTTAACATTATGACTGGTTTTTTTCCTCCATTTTAGAAAAATACACATTAATCTCCCTGACCCGGGAGAGCACAAAACCCCACAGAGCATAAAAAATGCAGTGAACACTCACAGATTACAAAATGTGGCGCCAAAAAGGCTCATTTTCTAAACCTGCAGATCAAGTAGTAGCTGTGCCATGTGAGAAGCATATCTTTGGTGTGAATCCTTCTGGTCAGGCTACTATGTCCATATAAACACAAATCAAAGCAGGCACCAGCTGTAAATGACCAGATCGGGCTGGAACATTAGGACAGTGTTTCCAAACTCAGCACCTGGACAGGCCTAAGAAACTCCACATTCACCTAGAATTTCTCGGAGAGCAATAATATTGCATCATAAAGAGCTTTTTCCCACACATCAATTCTTACAAAGATCTATACAGGCAGAGCTGGAAGCATTCAAAGCTTCCTTCAGCTCACCCACTATGAGAATCATGGCCCAGTTATCTTAAGAACAACCAAACTTGGCACTGTGAAAATGTAGGCAAGAAGCAGGCAACCGGTGAGGTGAAGAGTAGAGTGGTGGCCTTGGCATTTCTCCTTGTGGGAGCTCAGCGGGTTGGTGACTGAGGCATCTCAGTAGAGAGATCATCCTGTGGCCTGTTTCTGAGCCTCCACGGCCAGAAATCGGGCTCATCCAAAAGTCATGTGGCCTGTGGGATGAGCTCACGCTCCAGGGACCCCTGTCCGCCAGTCTGCCTACAGGGAGACCCACTCCACACTGTACATCGGGACACTGTCCGCTGCAAGCTATCAGACCCAGCCAGGCCCCAGGTTACCTGTGTCGAGGCTCCCCTGGGTGCTACTTGCTCGTCCTATGGAGAGGCTGCGATGGCTCAGGTTACGAAACTGGGAGAAGGAGGAGGTAGAGTCGATGGTATTTCTCCGGCCTCCAAAGGCATTTGTGGGTAACAGAAATTGGGTATAAGAAACAGTCTAAAAGGTGAAGACAAAAATGGCCAGTGATTATTCCCAGGCAATGTCAGGCTTGCATTCTGACCAAGCTACATGGCTACCCAAGTTCAGGTCCACAGTCCCCTCTCTGCAATTCTAAAATCAATGAGATCTGGAAAATGAAATCGGTGTTGGCCAAATTTGTAACAGAACTGGCTGTCTGTAGTTTTAACTTATCCCACTTGGTGAGAGTACTCAGGTTATGTGGCGGAAAAGTGTGTTTGAAAACAATGTGTTATCTTAGAAGCTGTTGGGATGTTGTGTAATACGTGAGGCACAACTGTTATTACTTTTCATAACCCAGCAAGTGCAGAATTCCAGGACACATGGGGCCCCAGGAGTCTCTGATAAGGGACGGTGACTTTTGTGTTCCTTTGGCAGATGTCATCCATGATGCTCATCTCTGTCCCATCCTCCCTCATTCCTGTGTGAACACTCAACCTTCAGGAATGAAAACAGACAAGTATCTTTCTGTTCACCTGCCTGGGGAAACACGGCTCATGCACTGTGAGCTCAGGGCTGATGTTGTGTGGGGAAGGGGTGGCAGGGAGGTCATTTGCCACCCCAGCAGCTTCACCTGCATGCAAACTATGCTGGGACGGCTTCCCCAAAGAGACACTTGCATGGTCTCCACCAACAGGCTTTGGAAGGGTTTACAAAAGACTGTCTGGATGCAGCACCAGAGGTCAAGTTCAGATTTCAACCTTCACTCCTCAGACTTCAACCCAGCAGCTTAGTGAATTGTGGGTGAAAGAGGAATGTGGTAGCGCTGCTGCTTGGTGGTCACTATCTAAGGCTGAGGGACTCTTAGCTTCTCAGGGTTATAGGAAACCAAAAATACTTTCTAGTGGGAATGCTGCTTGCTGACACCATCAGTTAGTGCATGTTCAACTACCCGTCATCACTCCATCCCAGAACATGCACATGGATGCATGTGTGTGCCCAAGATACTGATCAGTATCTCCCATTCTGCTGTGTACAGCATGGGCAGAGAAACAGATGTGCTGCTATTTAGTCACTGCCTCGGTGGACTTCCGTCTGCACGCTGGGGGAGCAGGAAGGCTGGCATCGTATGCCCAGGAATGTGCCCCACACCTGGCTCCCCAACCACGAATGAGGTTTGTGGTCTGTCACACTGCTTCTGCTTCCTGACCCTTGTGGTATCGCCCCAAACTCACTGACTGGAAGCCAGGCAGCCTTACCTTCCCGTCAGCTCCCAGCTCCACGCCTTCAAGGCCAATGACCTCTTTCAAGCTCACGGCACCTGTTGATTGTCTCCCTCCATCCAACTTCAAATCCCTGGGGAGGACAAGCCAAAGGAAAAAAGGCTGTTGTTTGCACCCAAAAGACACATGATGATGCTTACTACATGAGACACCACAGTCACACTGACGAAAATGACCAAACAGGGTCTCCCATTGTCCCTCCTTTGGGGCTTGTCAGCGGCACTCTTTGGGCAGTTCCACCCACTCTGATATAAATGACATCCAACTGAACAGAAAGCCTGGACATGAAAGTCAGGTTCAGAAGCCAATGGATTAACCACCTCCCTTCCTGTCAGCAAGGTCCCTCCGCTCTTAAATGGTCAACAAACAGGAACCAGGGAGCATTCCCTGGGCACAGTGGGACAATAGTTCTCTTGGGCTCTAGCTGCTGGCTTCTTTTTAAATCCAGGGAAGACCATCTCCTTGACTTGCCCTTAACTGACAGGAGAAAGAAATTCTTGTCCTAAACAGTTCTCAGGTTTACTGCTGGTACCAAGAGCATTAATGCCACAACAGTCACCCCAACTACCTTGCCAGGCCACCTAGAAAACGTATAAAAAGTAATCTCCAATATTAATGATAAGCACTTATAGAACACTTCATAACTGACAAAGACTTTCACACATCATCTCCTTCATTCTTTAAGATGCCCCTATCAGACCTGTATAGCAATTATAATCCCATTTTATAGATGAGGAGAACGAGGCCCTGAGTAGGTCGACTTGCCAAGGTCACTGGGACAGTAGCTTGCAGAAACTGGTTTTGCACCCAATGATATCACTAGTATAAGAGGTTGCCTTAGAGATGCAAGATGGGCCAGCTGAGGCTATGCTCAGACATAACTGCTCACATTTTCAAGGACAGTACCCCTCTCCTTACAGAGCTCTCAAACTTGGCTGTGTACTGGAATCACTTGGGGATTTTTGACAAACTACTGAACATTTGGCTCCCACCCCAGCCATTCTGCTTCTTTTGTTATGGGGTGCAACCTGGGTGGCAGGAGTTTTAAATGCTCCCCAGGTGATTCTAAATTGCAGCCACATCTGGGAAAGACTGTCTTCCAGCATCTGTCTCTGTGACAGTACTTGTTAGTGAATGCCACCTGAGGTTGGCAGTATTGCTGTGTGGCCTGGAGAGGCGCCATACTCAGGAATTGTCCTCTATAAGAACTCAGGTGCTGTCCCTAAGCAAAAACAAGGAAAATATAAAATGGTGAAGGAATCAATGATAAGTAGAGTGCAATGGAGACAGGTGAATGGGGAGAAGAGAGACAAGAATCCCCCCCAGCCCCAATGGAGGAACACACGATTCTCTGATTTGTTGAGCATTCCATGAATGAACTGGCTCCCTAATTCTATAATACAGAGTGTGATTAGTAACAGTTTTCAAAAGAAATACCTAAGACCTGCACCCAGTAAGGACTGCATGGTTCTGCCATCCTCCAAACGTCTCTGGAGCCCCTTTTGGAACTGACACTAAAGTCACCCAGAAAAAATCAATTAGACAACCCACCCGAGTCTTCAAACTTTATATACACACTTTAATCAGTATCCCCCCCACATTGACCAGATTTGACTATAAATGACTTCAGGTAATTCCAAACATCAAACTCACTCTTTAAGGACAGCACAGAATAGGACATTAACTCATAGAAGTGTAAACACCTCATTAGAAGGTGCAGATCATCTCATCAAGAGGTCCAGAAATGTTCTGAGCTACAAAAGTACTCTCAGGATGTGAGTTCTCCCAAGGGTGCCTCTTCTGCTGGGGACCACACTCACTAAGGGCTCTGAGGTCCAGGCTAGTTTAAGTCATATCATTTTATAAACCTGTGTGCCAACAGAAAGCCCCGCATTCTGGTTATTGACCTCAAATCTGCAGCTGGAAGGACCAAGCAAGCGGGGGCAGAGCGGGGCTCAGCAAGGCCACCAGAACCTCAGGACCACATATACCAGAGACCACCCGCCCTGCTGCCCGGCCTCCTACATGAGCTGCCCAGGCGGCTCTCAAAAGACTTCCTCTCCTCTAGCAATAAAGACAAAGATGATGAATGCATCAGGGCACTAACAAAGGGAAACGCCTAAGGAACAAGATCCGGCAGAGGCTAAAACAGCCACAGTGGGTCAGGAGCAAGAAACCCCATGGGAAAAGCCCAGGAGGTGAGTTGATACAAAGACAGCAGGGCCTTGCATTTCATTAAAAAACTGATAGCATGCTTCCACGGACTTCCCAATTACCCAAAGTCAAACCCAGCAAGCATGTGCCTCAAATTCCCAACTCCCCAACAACATCTCCTTGTTTCCATTTCACCAGACCAAGAATGTTATTTAGGGCCGAAGAAAATATAAAAGCAAGGAATGTATTTATGGGGTGAGAAGACCAAAAGAAATAAGGAGTATTAAAAATATAAGGAGTATTAAAAACAGGGGCCTCCCTATTAAGAGTGCTCCTTATACCTGAAACTAATAAAGTATGCCAACTATACTTTAGTAAAAAAATAATTTTTTAAACAGTGCTTCTGGATGGAGAGCTGGCTACAAGCCAGAAAAGGGTCTCAGTCCCTATTTGTAACCTGTCTACACAGTGTGTGATACACGGAGATGCTTAAAGAAGTGTTTGCTGAGCTGAGGTAGTCTGGCTCGTTGCTGTCTGTGGATGCTGGTTCATAATGACCATGTGAGACGTGTGTTTCTCCACTGTGCCCCTTTTCATCTGTCTCGATTTGCTCACAGGCTCACTGCCTTTGCCAGCTGGCCCCTGGCTGCTGAATGTACACATCCCAGTTCAGAGAACACAACTGCACTCAGCCCACCTTGATGTTTCCTCCAAGGCAAATGGAGCCATAACAAAAAGTACCCTTTTGGTGCTCACATCAAATCCAAGACTCCTCTCTTCGAGATAAACCCCAAACCCTACTGAAAAGAAACAGGGATTGTTAGACCCGGTGACTGTCAAAGTGCCTCAGGGACACTTTGGACCACATGGAAGAGCAGCTTTGGACCACACTTCCCAAGGGGTGAAGCTCCATCACATCCAACTACGGGAATCACCTTCTGAGAATGAGGCTGGTCTGCTTACTGAAGCCACTGCTTCCCACTGGGCTCCACTTACATCATTCCACTTTCCAAGTAACCAAACCAAGAAAATAAGCTAGGAGACTAGTGGGTCCACCCGTAACTGCTACTAGAAACACATAGTGTTCAGGGCTATCCACAGAACTCAAGGTGGTGATGAACATGTCCTCTGAGCTCTCAGTGTGGTAGCCATTAGCTATAGGTGGCAATTCAGTGCTCGAAGTGTGATGAATTGACTGCTGAATTTATTTTAGTTCATTTAAATTTAAATAGCCACATATGGAGGGTGGTTACTGTATTGGACTAACTAAGCCTAGTGTTTACTCATCAGGACTTTAGCAACCATGAATTCATATGATAGTCAGAGATGATATACTTAGTGACTTGGATTTCATCTCCCAGTTTTCTTCCCAAAAGTGGCCTGGCCATTTTCTGCCCATTGTCTCAGGGTGTGTTTTCATCCCAGGCCCCAGCTCACCCAGGAGACTGTTAGAAGTCCCAAGGGGTAGGAGAGAGGCAGAACCCTGTAGATGGAGCCAGCACAGTGGGATTACCTTCACTGGGAAGGGAAATAATGACTGTGGGGTCTACATCAAAGGGGACCCAGGCTCTGTACCCTATCAGCACCCTGGGAACCGGGCTCCCAGCTGTGATAAAAATTCACATCCTACAGGAGACACAGAGCAGCTTCTGTCCTGAAGAACCATGAGGACAGTGGTGATGGGCATTTGGGCAGTGCCAGAGCACACCAATAGACAATGATGTGTGCCCCACAAATCCAAGGCATTCCAGGGGACTATGGAGGGGAGGTGGGAGAGGTGTCCAGTGAGAATTACGTGTGAATTTCCCTCTGGCTTTGCAGAAGGGGGGGGGGGCAAATAGAATTTCTTTAAAAAATTAAAAACAAGACATTTCTTGCACAACAAAGCTCATGCATTTATATCTGCTCCTTTCACACTTCCAACACTTCACTGACATGGTAATATATGTCACAACTGCTCTAGAAAATTGACTATTTCATGCAGGTACACTTTCCCATTTTTTCTGCCTCAGGTTCAGGGAGAAGTTGTCACTCACTCCACGGCTGCCACTTTGGTGGATCTGAATTAAGAGCACATGTGTACACACATCCGCTGACATAGTCACATGTCCATGGAAAATGAAACATATCTATTTCAAAATTGTCGGGTTCTTGCCCTGGCCAGTGTGGCTAAGGGGTTAGAGTGTTGGTCCATGCACCGAGGGATCAAGGGTTCGATTCCTGGTCAAGGGCATGTACCTGGGTTGAAATTTGATCCTGGCCCCAGTTGGGGCATGTGCAGGAGGCAACCAATTGATGTGTCTCTCTCTCATCGATATTTCTCTCTCTCTCCCCCCCTTCCCTTCTCTCTAAAAATCAATGGAAAAAATATCCTTGGGTAAGGATTAACAACAGAATTGTCGGATTTTTTAACAGCTTTTGAATTTGTATATCTTAAGACTCTTGGGATCTTTCAAACCTACCTTTCACAAAGAGGCTGAGGAACTTCTCTAGGGTCCCCTTAGCTCAGTGCTGTTGTGTTGGTGAAATCTTGTATTAACACAAACCATATGAAATTGCTGTTATTTGCCTGGTTTGTCTTATATAAACAGCGATTTCCTTTGTGCCACCTAGTAGACAGATAAGGTAACTGCTCGGGCCTTACCTGTAAGTGTAAAGCCAGCAAGAGACTCATGGCCCCTGACGGTCCACTTTTTTGAGACCTGAAGAAAGGAACTCTGAATGGTGACGCTGGTTCACCAAAGAGAGTGTTTTAAAATTCCAGTGAAAAAGAGTTAAGCGGAAGTTCCCGTGCGTGGAGTAGTGATAAAATCTTGATGTTTTCTTTCTAAGGTCATTAAACTCATTAAAATGGTGTATGAAAATAGAAATATCTCTGGCTCAGATGCCAGCAATAACCCTCCAGTACCAGGAGACAGA